ACTATTAAACTGTTCAAACATTGAAACTGTTTTCGATCTTAATATATTCATACGAGGCAAAATTCATCTAAATTGATCTTTCTGTTTACATTTCTCATACTATCATATGATTAATTTTCTTGATATTCTATCATATCGGAAAATATGGTTTCCAAACTCAAAAATATGGTTTCCAAACTCAAAAATCCTTCATTTTCGGTCAGACACCACGTTTCCCTATTATACAACTAGTTATTAGTATATAAGTTTCTGTTTTTTGGGAAAAACTTCGAGAAAATAAGAAAAACAGTAGAACCTAGTTGTAATAAAGACAAAAAAAATAATAAGATAAATATACATTTAATATAAAATATAAATTTAATACTCTAACAATCCAATTTATATCCAAACACCTGAAAGAATCCGACGTATTTTAATATCAGGTCCAAATAAAATTGCGTCTTCCAATTCGACAAAGCCTAAGTTAGCAGACTGTTTGGTAAAAATATTAGAGGGCAAGTTTTATTTTATTTTCCTACTGATGTTTTTGTTGAGACGCAATCAGCTTATTTAGATTTAAAAACTCTCGACTTTAATTGAGTCATTAATTGTTAAGGCTTTTATGACATTCTTGACTTGTGCGTGCCTGGTCCATAAACACGTTGCTTGCAATTTAATCGAGTTTTAAGGATATTTTTTGTTTTTAAATAAAAAATACGTATCCTCGTCTGATTGGTATTAATGTATCAACATTTTTATGCCAATAATATTTATAAAGAAAACTTATACGTGTACGTATAGGTTGATTCAAACAAAATATTTTGTTTAGATACAAAACCCAGAAAAGATATTAATGTAATGAAAGATATCTTTTTGCGATCTGAAAATTAGATAAAGTAATTGAATAAATTGGCTTAGGAAATGAAAACGATTATTTCAGCTCAACTAGATTGCTATAGCTGCTAAATTCGCACTATGCCAAAGAACTTTAGGCTTCCATTTAGTTTGAACTTACAAAAATCGGTACCCGAACTTCTTAAGCCCTTTCACTCTTGTTTCATGTAGAACAACTAATTACTTAACACGCTTTGCTTTGTCGTAATCGGTTAATTAATTCTCAACTGGATTTCGTGACACAAATGGACACTCTGCAGCCTTAAAAGGCTTGGACGTATTGCGCCACTATGGTCATTGCTCAACTTGCGGTACACGCTACTATAATACTTACACGACTCTTAGTAAGGTCGGAAATCGATTAAAATCTATTTGAAGGTTTTGTTGGTTCATGTTATAACAACAACCCTTTATAAATCGAATTGATATCAATCATAATTGTATTACAACTAGCTGTGGCGTATGGTTTTCATCGCAGCATCGAGTGATATGACGGATCAGCCTAATAACGACACAAATATGTCAATATACATGTTATTCTAACATACAAACATAGGAAATTTTCATCTAGTCACATATATATTTATAGTATATAAGATTTTTTGAACATTTTCTTTGAAGTAGGTTAAAAAGTATACAATCCTAGACCTAAAATGACGTCATCATTTTAAAACAATTCTGCACTTACTTCAGTTTTAACACACGAACTTGTATTGGCGAAGTGAAATTTTAAAGCAAATATGAATTCAGTCTACTTTCTTAACTGAAAGTCCTGCTTTCACCATTGAATAAATAAATACCGTTTTAGAAATAAAATTCGCATCAAAGCGAAAGCATTTCACTGATTTCGCTAATTTCAATAATATAATAAACAAACACACATTTGCAATTAAAATTATTTAAAACTTACATATAGTTATCTTATTTTAATAATAAGAAAATAAATTTAATAATAATAATGAGATGAATAATCCTGAGTCACTATTAAAATATAATTTAAATACTAAATAGTTAATTATGTTGATTTAACTTAAACTTTTTAATAAAACTATACAACAGTAAATGAGTTTATAAAAATATAGTCTTAGAGTTCTGTTCTCTCAGTTTTGAAGCTCTTTGATCTTAATTCGAAAGGTTATTAATTAACCTATTTAAGGTATCAAATTATTTCATCAGATAAGATCACGAGTTAACAAGAAGTTTCTTGTATCAAAGATCAAAAGTATTTTAAGACGATTATTTAATTAATAAGATTAGATTTCATAAAACTATTCTATTCAGTAATATAAAGTTAATATAAGTAAGTGTTATTAAATGATTACGAACAGAAGTGCTTTAGTAAGTTCTAGGGGTCGATGAACTAAAGATGGCCTACTAACACGGTAACTAGTGATGTGGTCAAACGAGAGATCTCAAGGACGTTCCGTTTAAATTGCAATTAAAAACCTTATGATACATAAATAAGGTTTGAAATCGTTTGTAAATGTTTTAACTCCACCATAAAGGTAATTTTCCATTTAGTATGAAGCTAGAAAAATTTTACTAGTTTTGGACTATAAATTATTATGAAATCATTCATAATTATAATCAACTTTTTAAAAGCCCTAATGAAATAATGAGGCTATATAGTAACATGTCGTTGTAAATAACCATTGTTTGAATATCAAACATTCAACAGAGTATTATAATAATCAAAACCAAACAAAAAAAGGATACATTTAATAAATATAAGACAAACAGAATACAACAAGGATTGAACACCCGACATCTCTCATCCCGTATTCAATAATACCGCATAATAAAAAACGGTCATACCCTTTCCTACATACAGAAAAAATAAAAAAAACTCATATGAATGACTCGCTTTCATCATACGAGACGATAACGATACGATATTTTAACTTCAATGAAAATTCAATGTCGTCAAGCTAAGAACCGTAAAAAATAAATCATAGAAAAAATTATTTAAATCTGTCGAATTGATATTACGTAATTCAATATTTATAACCTTTCAATACTAAATAATAATAATCTTAATCTTTAATCTTCTCCATGTGAGAAGAGGCCTTTGCTCAGCAGTGGGCTGTGATGATGATGATGATGAATACTACGAGTAAATACCTTAAAGATTTTGTGAAGTATTAGTGAATATGTCTTCATGTCGTATAATATAAAGGCAATGTGGTTGGATCCTTTAAAATAAGAATTTATGAAGAACGTGCAATGACCCTTAAACACGACACTGCCCTTTCGTTTTGACATTTCTTTTCATTACAATTCGTGTACACAAATAATTATTTAAAGGACATATATATAAAAGGTTGTAAGAAAAATTACGTGTACTTAATGTCTTTTTAGAGCCGAAATAAATACTTTCACGATGTCAAAAGGTAACGAAAAAATCAATATTAATAGTTATGACGCAATGCAGTAACCTAACGTATCTTAAACACAAGACTGTAACAATCTCATTCCATACATATTAATGTAAAGCCATGTCTGCACTTGCACTGCAAATATGGAATTGATTATTAGTTGAAATCTAAATTACTGACTTGATTAATACTAGCCGAATACTTCTAAACAAAAATTTTATAATACATAATTGTTTTTCAATGTTATATAGGTAATATTTTTTACTCTCACTCATGTAACCACTGCTTTATTTAGAGAAAATATTGCAAGGATTTTTTTACATGCATACAACCTCGTAATAGCGTCCGAATCACATTTAAATATTCTAACCTTCGCTATTGTTATAACGGATACATCGACTAAGGTCCGTTTTTCTTTACGTGTAGTAATAAGGCTCAAATTAAAGCATTACCAGCCTTCTTTATTAGCTTTGAAAGTTCCTATTTGATACGCCAAATTGTTATTTATTGTGTTAGCACAAAGGCGTTATTAGCATGTATTGTTTGTAATGAGCATTATTTAAGTGCGAACGCCTATTAAGTGTTTATAACCAACTTCTGTATTCAATTAAAATCGATGTTATCAAAGCAAAATTGTACTTTGTTAGCGATTAAAAATGTTCATTGTTTCGGCGGTTCATTATAACTTACTTATATACTCGTTAGTTCTATCGTTATACATATATTTAATATTCCTAAATATTGAGAATTAATTAAAAATATTGTTGAAAGAAATATTTTATCGTCACTAAACTCAATCAAATTAATCATGAAATCAAGTCCACTATAATATCAAATTCCCACACATATTTTTAACAACGCGGAAATAATCTGAATGATGGTGGGCGTTTTTTTATTATAAATCTTTCAACATATTGATTTATTAAAATTGATTACAAAGTATTTCCCGAGAGGTATAAATTCAATTTAAATGCGCCTTCTAACAAAATCTTACTTAAAACTTATGGGAAAATCTTAGGTACAATGATAAAAATATTGTTCATTTAATCAAACTTTAATATTAAGATCTTAAGGATATTAAATTAAATTCTTTCTAGTTCTTTAGCTATCACAAGGTTTTTGAGCAAATAGAAAATTTTAAAGCAACAAAAGCGAACTTTCCTATGTCATAATATAAAATTTTATTCATAATTACGATTGACATGACGTAAATATTTTATACGGGCAATAAAGTTTCTTTGCGTACAATTGTAATATAACATACATATCATTTCAAAATATGAACATTAATATTTAATGCAACATTTTTTATTTCACAATTTAATTTAACGAACTTACATCTAAGCTTCTCGTTTTATTTCTTTATATTGTCAATGAACCGAGCTACATTATACAGTTTTAATTGTTTTATAAGACTACCCGCAACTGTCGCTGCCAAATTACCTACAGAATTTTAGTGAAGTCTAAAAGAAGAGTTATGTATCTTCAAAGATGGAGTTTATAATTAATCTTTATATATAACTAAATTGTAGAGTAATTTCTAATTAACAGCTATTTTGAAAATACAATGGATAACTACATCAAAACTGCAATTTTATTAATTTTTGTCAGTCTATTTGTTCTGTCTAAACTCTGAAACGGCTGGACCAAAATTGTTAGGAATTTCATTTGTAAATTGATTCAATATTTATTACGCTATTAATCTTTAATATAAAGGCTTGTTACTAATTCAGAGAAGACAGTATCTCCGATATGAAAGGTTCTCCAATAAATCGAATGAAAGCTCATGGTTATGATAAGGCGTATGTCTGTAAGTGCAAAAACCACAGCTAGCAGCTAGTTCGTAATATAGTTAGCTAGTATATGTAAAATAAATTAATTGATATCTAGAGAACTGTCAATTTCTATGTATCTTACTAACAACTTTATATTACAAGTATAAATTTTGTACAGAGACTCGCATATTTATACTCAGACTTCCTTTTACCTTCGACAACGAGACAAATACTTCAAAACTAATTAAGACTAACAATTGACGTCAAAAAAACTCTTATTTTGCAGTATCTGGACTGGTTTCTAGACCAGTTTGAACACTGGTTGACATTTAGGTATTGCATTAAGACAAGGAACCTTTCAGGCCGCTAGGCAATACATACATCATGTGTAATTTTAGTAATAATATAAATCTAGAAAACTATTACAATCTGATGATCTGCGTTCATGACAATTAAACAAAAATATTAACCAAAGTCATAATGAACTGCGTAATTATCTGGGAACTTTAAATGAGATTACGACAGTTTTAAATAAGGCCAATCTTTTATAATATAATATTAAATAATATATCAAAATAAAAGCACATTACAAAACTTTCAAAAGCAATTCTGGTTAAGTGATATGCACTAAATTAAGGCATTACACGAGAAAAGTTACGTAACAAATAGAACCTGCGAACAAGCACCACTTTTACTTTCAAACAAAAAAAAACAAACTTGTCGGTCGACTTGTTGGATAACAGTACTAAATTGTTTTAAAGACTCTTTCACACTGAAAAGGCCATTATTAGTGAACTTTGCCTAAGGGATAATTTTTATATAAACAACTTATAAACTAGCTGTTTCAAATGATATGGGTAATTCGAATTCCTTAGTAAAATTATACGAAATCGAGACAAAAATAATTAAATTTTAATTCTACGTCTGGTGTACTCTTACTGGAGTGTCGCCATTATATCTACCAGGCCCTCAGCAACGAACCCAGTACTTCAAATGCAATTTCGGTTGCGAACTAAAGTTATATAATGGGTTGACAATTGACATAGACTAGGGCGTTTGTTGAGAAAATGTTTCAAATGATTAATTAAATGTTGTAATATTTCAAATAGAAAAAAAACATCACACAAATTATTATGATTTCTTAAATATTAGGAGTATTCATGATCAATTAAAAATAATATATGTATAATCCTTTTCGTTTATAATCAAAGAAGATAATTGTATTTAAAATGGTTTTATGATATTTCAAAATTCGATTGCACCATTAGGAATATTTTAAAAAGCAACAAATTTTACATTAGCAATATAACGAGCGCCTTGGATTTACTGTTACGACGTGTTCAGAAAAGTTAACAGCATCTGCAGCTTAAAGTACTCCGTAGAACTTGAAATATGACACAATAAAAATAGGGAAATACTTCCAAATAACGAAAAATATTAACGACGGAGACAAAACACTTCAATCATAAAGTTATTAAAAATATTAAGAGGCTTTAGTATGGAATTATTTCGCTGTTTTCAAACAAATGGAGCGTGTCCTTTGTCAGAATTAAATTGTAATTCATCAGCTCTTTACAGCCCGATGAAAGACGTTTGATTTCATTCATCAAAATGAAGACGTCGATCATCTGATGTAGGTCATAAAGAAAAAACGAATCAGATGGCCCAAATATATAACTGAATTACTTAAAACAAAAAGATTCTTAAAAACATTTAAAGCCCACATCAAATAGAATTATCGTTTCAACAAATTTATAATATTGACAAAGGATGTTTGCAAAACATTGTTTGAATATATCCAAGTAAAACATGATTTGTAGCTTACATGGAGACTATAGTTAGAATAAGAATGTTGAAATGTAAATACATATAAAATTTGATTCAATTTTATTTAATTGATATAGAAAATGATAAATACTAAACTATAATTTCAAATTCCTATTTGACTTAACAAATATTCTGACATGTGACTACTTCAGCGCCTTCGCTATTTATCTAGGCAAACCTTCGACTTGAAAAAGAACTATTCTTGATGTTGAAAATGTTATATTAAAGTCAAATTTCATATTTATTTAAGGAACAGCATATATAATGCTTGTTAACTTTGAGGACAAACTAAAATACTTTCCACCAAATCCCAGATTAAACGTAACACAACACAAAACTTGAACTGTTTCAATTATCCCACATTAAATAAAATGAATTCACATTTGCAGTTAATTGTTTTTGTTGTTTTAACTTTCTATGAGCTATTTATTCGTTTTCAAGTAAATTTGCTGTAATAAAATAAAAAAATCTTCGAAAATTGCAAACTAATAATCTGCATATGCAATCGTGTATGGCATGTCTTATGACAAAAATTTGGTTTGTCATTTCAAGAATTTCAAGAATTAATAAAATAATAAGTTAAGATAATTTCTCTTTAGTAACGCTCAGTTTACCCCATATAATGCAATCTTCATATATTTTATTATTTCCCTGTTCTCATAAAAAGTATTGCATAAAAATTTATCCGTAAAATGAATATGTTCATATACTCGTAGAATTCATTATAACTAAACGCTTTCTAAAAACAACCATTATTCTTACATTAGCTTTGAATCGAGTGAAAATATAAAAATGTTACAGACATAGAAATCAACTAGAGTGGCAAACAGACCATTTTACCGACTTCACGCTTGTTGGAAATTTCTAAACTCTTGTTACACACAAAAGAATATTCATATTTTTTGTTTCCAGTTTAATAACGTTTCTCAATAAGAATAACTTAAGTACTTACAATAATATATATGGTTATCATACAATGTATTTTATTTTAATTAATTATAATGCCTGAAATGGAAAATCCTATTTATAGATACATATGTATTATATATCTATATAAGCGTACGTATGTATACAAGCTCGTCAAAATGTTCTCTTCTAATTGAAAAAACGTAATAACCAATATTTATCACTAGCACATCGTTGTTTGAGTGTTCAGTGAACGACACAGGATACAATAAAAATTTAAATTTGAGCTTCAAAAGTTGTTTTGTCAATCTATTCAAAGGGAAACAACAATACAGTTTAATGAAAGTTACCAGTCATATATACATACTGTCATAAATAACTCAAAAATATTCTATGATATGAAGCAAAAAAGAGAGAAAGTAGAGCTATTTCTTTTTTAAAATAAAATGTGTTATTAATATTTCGAGTCAATCAACTCTCGTTATTCCTTGAATAAAATTATAAAATGGTTTGTAATATATGTATGTATATATAATTTCACATTTAAACGCGTAGCGGCCAAAGCTGTTGAAATATAACATTTTATAGCAAATATATTATTAAGAATAGTCTAAGCATCTGAGCTCGGACTATTCTTTATATTAAAAGACTTGAATTTAAAACCTATTTTAACTTTACCATACATTCGCTTTGTATCATTCTATTTGTAGACATTGATATTCATATAACTTCAATTCTCTGTTTTACAAATTAAGATATTTGTTAACTGAATATTAAACCTACAAATGGTCACGTATAAAACGATAAATCATAAATCTGGGTGATTACAAGACGCTGAGAAATTATTATATCTAGTTATACAGAATTATTATCTGTTAAGTTTATCTTGCGCCATCGTCTGCGTGTTGGAATCTATCACGCTCCAATTCCGACAATTGTACCACTTGTCAATTTCTAAGCAAATATTTCGAGTGCGTGCTAAGTCCTACAGAACCGAAACAAATTATGGGAACTACTAAAAAACTATAGAAATTTTAAAGTTTTTGGTACTAAATAATCGACCATTTCTTATCTATTGCTCAACATCAAATATTTCATGACAAAATTAAGAAATTGTATACTCGTTTCAAATTATTTTTCTTAAATAAATAAATTTGTCTACTAAGTTTCTAACTTCAAAGGACTTGTCAGAAACAATATAGGGTATAAGAAAATAAGTGATTCTAGATGAATTATTTTTTTCTAAATTATTTTATTCTGAATTAAGAAAAATATTTGTCAAAGAAAATTTAAGTAAAGAATATTTTACTTACAACAGCTTTAATGACATACGTATAAGTATGACCTATATTTTATAAATTTTTTAAAAGATTGCTTTTCTTGCAATATTGGCATTTTATTATTCTGCTTTTCATAATAGTTTTTCAATATTTAGGATTCATTAAGAGACATGCATATTTTAATCTAAGTAGACCGCGCTAATTTGAAGTTATCTAGACAGCAGCTATGTAGTGTTGTACCTGTTGTAAGTAGTTACAATATCGATAGTTTATTAAATTTTCTTTTAATTTAATTTTTTTCTTTTCCTACCCAAAAACCTATTGTTTCTTAACATACATTTTTTTTACGTCGCAGTTGTAAACGAAGTAACATTATGTATTGTGACATTGTACAAAACGCATACATATATCATAGTTAATGGAAAATCTGACCTTTTTATTCGTACGTTTGCAGCCTTGAGTGCGTTGTTAATGTGTATTTAACAGGCGAACACAATTTGGCTAGAATGTCTAAATGAAATATAAGTATATTTATTTGAAAGTATGTTTGTTTTTGTTGATTTTTTGGATGACAAACTGTAAGGGTCACCGTGGGATATAATTTACTAATGGAGGAGTTGTAATCTTTTTCTAACATTGTTTCTACTACTGCTCTTTAGAACACCTACGACATAAAGTGTCATCTAAAATACGAAAGAACTTGAAATACTTTGTATTTTAATTAAAAGTTTGATCATGTCAATCGCTGCCTTATTCTTACTATCATTAAGGGCCAGATAACGCATGTAAACTGTTTACCTACAGGTATTTAACTATTGCTGTACTTTACATATTGAATATACTGCTTAAATTAAATCAAATGCAATGCAAATTTATAATTTAATTACCAACAAGTTTTCCCTCTAATGTTTTAAACATGCTTGACGCCTGTATATGTTTACTTTGATTTCTTCTCTACAAGGCAGTTCTGATTTAATCCTTTATATTTTCGTCAAGTTCGCAATCAAAGTTTAGTCATTTCC